TTTTTAAACAAAATTTGTAGAGAATTTTGTATTCTACAATATTGATAATAAATACAAATAGCAAAAAACCCATAGGAAATGAGATATTTCCAAAAAAAGCGCAAAAAACCGATTTTTGTGACCTTTGACCTTGAAATTTAATAGTAGCTTACACCCTACCATATGTAGGTTTTGAGACAACTTTTAGGGTGTCAATATACAAGTATTTACAGACTTACAGCTGGGTATCTCGAATTCCGAGGTGAACTTACTATAATGACTGGACTATATTTTAACCGTCGTTGCACTGTTCATTCTTGAAACTGTATGTTTGGTGCACAAACATAAAACGAAGTTTGACTTTGTTTCTTCTCCTTATACTACTCGTAATAGCATACTTGATATTGGACTTCCTATACCTAACTCAACATTAATCAGGGATTCCATTTTTTATAATGGTGGAAGATTATTCAGTCACTTACCAGTAGATATAAGGTCTCCAAAATTGACCAACGTACAATTCAAGAAAGCAGTTAGAAATTTGCTAGCTGATAGACCCTATTATAGCTTGCAAGCATGAATCAATTTAAAACGCGTATTCCATTTTATATTTATTTTCATTGTATTTGTACCTGTTTTTATTCAAACCTTCATTAATTGTCTATACACCATTAGTTATGCTTATATTTATACCTATAAATCTTTGTCGATGGGATACAAAATCTTCTGACAATAAAGTATATTTTGATTTGATTTTCATTTGATTTGATTCTTGATGGGTCAGTCTCCACCAGAGTCCTACAATCCTCGTCTTGGATTACTATCGGTCGACCACCACTTCGGAGTTCATCTTCGAGGCTGAAAAATCGCAAATCAACGTTAAATAGTGTGTTCATTAACACTTTCATTACCAAATGACTGGTTGATTTTTCATGATGTTTTGGCAGTGCCTTGTTTCAGTTTGAATTTCTTTGAGAAAAATTGGTTTGGTTGTGAATTTCATGGCAAACTTGATGTAGATTTTGAAAGGCGCGTAACTACGTTATTTTTGGTTTGATGATGAATACAAAAAACCTTTGGCATTCGATTGAATTAGAAATATTCAAAGATTCTTATCAATTAAAACATTTTTTGAATTAATTGAAAACGCGGCCGATATCTTCAATAAAAAATAGTTGGCAGTAGTGCCGACTTGAGTTTGGTCACAGTGTATATAGAACCAAGTTTATTTCTGGAAATTCATTTTAGTTTCGAGGATGATTGAATTTTTATTGTTTGATTCAGGTATAACGGGACACCGATATGTGGTGCAGCATTAATAACCAAAGATAGAGCTTTGACAGTAGCACATTGCTTCCCGAAACAAGGATTGTATTCCGTCCGAGCAGGAAGCCGTAGAACAGATGAAGGAGGAATTGTAGTTAATGTTAAACAAGCCATATTGCATCCGCGAAATAATCTACAGAACGACGATTTCGATATCGCCATCATCAGGTTGGAGAAACCCTTGAGGTTAGGAGCTGTTATATTTCAAATTATTAATGAACTGAACCGTTACTTGATGAAAATGTTCGTGAAATTTGTGTCATTATTATCAGTTTTTATATCATATGCCAGACACTCATGCTGATGGAAGTTTAGATTCCAGTTGGATTCCTTTTATCACGCATCTGGTGTCATGTACGAATGTTAATAATCTCGATAAACTTATCTTGTAACCATTTTCCGCACTCAGAAATGTAAATGTTTCGTAGGTGCCTTGATATGAGTTTATATAGTGGCGACAAAAATATTTCAAGATATTTCAAACAATGTTTCTCAGATCGTCTTTGTTCGTGACAGCTTTATCAATAAAACGTTCCTTAATCGTTACCATTGGAAAACACGTTTTTTCTCGAGGTGATAGAAAACAAGTATAATCCGATGTTACGAGAGTCCAGACATCAGTTTCCACTGAGAAAATGAATGTTGTACACTCTTCAGAGTAGTAGTTGGTTAAAGCCGATTTCAGAACCTTCCCCACCACTTTCAACCTCGAAACGACCTTTACATACGTCGCACGACGTAGCCAAGGTAACTTAAGAGAGTGTTTTGAGTCTGACCTTGAACGCGCTTGTCCTACGTCGTACGACGCAGGCAAGATGAATTTGAGGTAGTCTTTTGGATTTGACTTCGAATGACCTTCATTCACTCCCCAAATTTCCGACAAGGGAACTTTGACCACGAATGAGCTCGAGTTAGTTACGCGGTTATCCTGATGTTTTGAACCTATACAACACAAGCCAAGGTGAGTGTTTTGTATTTGACCTTCAACGACTTCGACCTTTGAATGAATTTAAAGTAGTTTTTGGTTATAACTTCAAAAAACTTTGATTCACATCCCATTTTATGCGGCTATCTTGTAGTCTTAAGGATTCGACCTTGAAAGAAGGAACTTTCGAAACTTGATGGAGTTTATATTGAACCTCTTTTGAAATATTGCTCACATATATGATGAGCTCCGCTCCTGAGCAGACTCAGAGGCTAGTAGAGTCTCTCCAGAAAAGAGTCATCTGCATGAATGAAGATCCAAATGTCAAATGCAACCTTGATAGCATGAAACATCAAAGAAAGGTTGGAGCTTGGCGATATATTTCCGAAGTACGAGGCAAAATACAGCTGATCATAGCTTCAAAATTCAACTCAACTTTAAAACATACTTTTCAAAAACAGTTGTGAACTTGCTGTGATGGTTTTCCTAAGAAAATAGCAGAACCCCAGATTTTCCAATATTTGTATAAGAGCTAGTTTTCTGCTTTGGTGGTCTGAGATGATGCCTTGTCGTCTTTAATCATGCCTACCGGAGGTTAAGACGAAACGTCACGTATAAAAAACTAACTTGCAGACGTCGGTTAAGGAAACTTTCGGCTATGGAAGTTTATATTCTTTTCATTAGGTATTAATCATCATCTCATGCATGAGAATTTCTGAATGCTCAAGAAGTATTGTTCAATTTTGTTATTTCACACCACCCAAGCACAAACAAGTGTTGCGATTTTCTTAATCAGCCGACTCGTATCTTTTCTACTTTCCAATTTTCCCTGGCCACCCTTATCTTAGATACACAGTATATACACTTTCTTGATTTTCAGTTTCTCGAAAACAATTCAGCCTGTTAAACTACCCAAAAACAACGAGTGTCCACTGGCAGGAATGAAAGGATTTGTATCAGGATGGGGTAGTATCTCATCTGTTTATACGTACATCCCTGATACTCTTCGAGCAGTTGAACTTCCAATACTCCCACAACAGTGGTGTCAGGCAAGCTACAGACATGTTCAAATTACTCCAAGGATGTTCTGTGCTGGATACAGAGAAGGAGGAAGAGATTCTTGTCAGGTAGGTTTTTGGTTGATGATTGATTAGGTTTTATGACGTCAAGGGCGATCCAGATTTGGTTATGACATCGAAACCAAAGTCTAATTGTCCCATTGGAAAATCCCAGAGGAGCTAACACCAAAAAGTTCGATCAAATGTCAGGGTATTGCTCACTGTTTTCTTCGATTACCGTAGCGTAGTACAACAGGAGTTCTTGCCACATGTTTGTCCTTGCTTGTTCTTGATTTTTGTACCATAAACAACGTAACGACATCGTAATCAAGCATCAGCCATTGTATTCACCAGATTCACCCCCTACTCCTTTTTTTGTTCCCAAGATTGAAAAGAACCATGAAAGGATGGCGTTTTGCGACGATTGAGGGGGAGAAAAACTGAATCAGAGAGATCTCAAGAACATACCATTATATCTGAAGGTAAATACTTTGAAGAGGACAAAATCGGAATTGATGAATGAATAAATATTTCTTGAGAAAAATTAAAATTCACACCATTTTTGGAACAGAGTAGTACACAGCAGAAATGGAAGAGACCATTAGGATATTCATAACTGATAGGAAACAGTGCGTCAAAATAAATGAAACACTTACTGTACCATAGAATATGGAGTCCCCCAAGGAACAGTATTGGAGCCTTTCTTATTTAATATCTACTTGAATGATTTGTTTAGGGTCAATTCAGTTTCGCTGATGACACAGCCGAATTATATCGCGCTGATACTTGGAAAGAATTGAAGAACAAGATTGAGATAGATTTCATAAAAATTGACAGTTGGTTTAAAAGCAGGTTGCATCTTTCACTTATTTCAGCAACAACTTGCCAATTCATACTTCTTTGGAAATCCATAATGACAATGACACAATGACTATAACTATGAAAGAACATATAAAATATCTTGGCATAATAATAGATAAAAATGTAAGATGGAATAAGCACACAGAATATGTTGCGAATGAAATGAGGTTTCTACTGAACAAATTTAGGTTTTTCAAAAAAAATTTTGACATAGCACAGCTACGAATATTATATTTCACTCTAGTATAGTCCCATATCAACTAGGGAATAATTGTATGGGGAGTGGGGGGTATTACTGATAATCATCTCAGGTTATCAATGTCACTCAAAAAAAATTCTCATCAAAATTATTTTTAATAGAGACAATACATATCCGTCTGAAACACTTTTTACAGAATCTAAATTTTTTACATGTAGACATCTATATTTTCTAAGTCTTGCAATGCATCATAGAAGATATGAAACAAAATCATTGTCTTTGGATCACTTGCACAATACCAGATTCAAGCAAAAAACCTCAAGGATTCCTAAAGTAAGCACATCTCGAAGTCAAATATTTCTCACATACTTGTGCTCTATTGCCTATGCAGAAGTTCCATTTGAAATAAAGTATATTACAAGTGATAACAGATTTAAAAAAGAACTGAAATTATGGCTAACTAATATAACAATAGGTATAATAAATGAAATATTGGAACGAACAAAAAATGAAGTAGTTATACAGAAAGAAAAAGCACATGTTCTCACAAAAAAATGTAAATATTTACAAGTATAAATGGAAATAATTTCACAATTCATGATCTACACCAGCTTTATACGTATATTTGAAATTTTATTCATATGTTTTAATTTACATGTGTCATTATTGTTCACCATAATCTGTACTGTTGCAATCTTTCTGAACAGGGACTTATCTTATAGAATAGACAGCAACTCTACAAAAGTGCAGGACCATATTAAGAACAGAACATTCAATGAAATATATATGACATATGGCTTTCAATTACTCTACGTTTATGGTGTATGAATGATAAATGTTATGACCGATAGTTTAGTTTGTATTGTTGTTTGTTCACTGATTCATGTTCATGTTATTTTAATTTTTTTTCCATCTCAACTGACATCATACACAAAACGTCTTAACTTTTTGTTTATTGTTTCAGTTTTTTTTTTGTCATACACAAGCTCTATGAGCTTCAGTGTCTTGTCATGTTTATTTCTGCATTTCTTCTTTTTTATATGTATATGTATTCAATCTTATGAAATAAACATTATTATTACTATTATTATTATAACTGTAGAGAGAGGTTTACATAAAGTATAAACATCTCCAAGTATCATGAAAACTTTGATTCTACCGATTTCTGTTTTATATTTGGTATGATTTTCCGTTTCGTAAACACATGCTTTCACTAAACTGTGCTTAACAAATAAAACTATCAAGTTGGAATTATTCCTAAGGATTACTATTACAACTTCAATTTTCCCTGCCCAATCATTATTGAATGATCATTATTGAATGATTAGGCACGGACTTATTGTAGTATCAAGAATAAAAACAACACCAATCAAAGTATCATAAGGGGTACTTCGTTTGGATTTTTGATATTACGGTAAGCCGCGCTTAAGAATAAAATGCGGAAGCATGCTTATTAGAAAGATTTTTTTTAGAGATAGCTTACAAATGACGTACACTTTGATTTTCCTAAAGAAATATTCTTGAGAATCATCAGAAATTCGGCTACAGATGTGACTTTTTTCAGGGTGATTCTGGAGGACCTTTCGTGTCAAATGGCACCCTTTTTGGATTGGTTTCCTGGGGTTTCAACTGTGCCGAGCCTGGTTATCCTGGAGTTTACACGAACATAGCAAGTCTTCGGAAATTCATAAAAAATTATACGGGTGTTTGACATGTCGTTTCATTTCATTTCTAAACACTATTTGCTAACTTTTATCCACTGCAATGAATAATGATCGTTGAATCACGATTCAATTCTTCTGTTTGTTCATAATGAGGCGATCAAGTACCATCGAAAAAAAAAACACTCAACAACTGAAAGTGAGGTTCTTCATGGTCTACAGAAACTCTTTAATACGGTTTGCTAACTGTCGTTCGTCGTTCCACAAATATTCAAGGTTTTACGTATTTATTATTTATTAATAACTAGTTGTTGCCCGTGGTAAAACGTGTGCGATTATTTAATGAACAGGAAGCTGAATAGGAAGGTGTTCGATTGAGTGGCTACCACATTTAAATGATTTCGATTTTCTTAAACCACCAGACACATAACAAGATCTGCAGGTCTCGAGTGTAATATCTCAAGTGCTCCAGAATATGCGACAAGCTGAATAGGAAGGGAGCTATTGGGTGGCTTTCTGGGTTACCCGATTTGAGTCCACTTCCTGGATGCTTTTCATTTGAGAAAGTAGCATCGTTGTTGTCATTTTAAATGCGAAAATCTTGCTAGGTACGGTTTTGATGGATGCAGTTGATCACTTGATCATTACCATAACACCGAAATAACGACTGACAGCTATTTGATATGGAATTAGTTGACAGTTTGATTTTGCATGGTTTATGTTCGCAATTATCGCAGTAGACTATGGAAGGCTGTAGCGACTGTTAGTTTGAAAATGTACCTTACGAAAATTATAAAATTTGATGATACACGAAAAAAATGTCAGATTTGACCCGTGTAAAGTATTCCATGACAAAAATAAATAGGTTGTTTTCTGAAGCAAAAAATCCACTAATAAAAAAACTTGAATATGCCGTGGACTTTCTATGAAACTGTATATGATACTTTTCATCATGAATTGATTAAAATAATTGACATTTTGGATAAATCATTTCTGTACTGACAATTTCTATCACAAATAGGTCACAGAAACAGGTCATGAAAAGCAAAAAATCACACATTTTTTCATTGTTTCACTGTTTTTTGTAATTTAAATAATTAACATTGATAGGTGAAATAAATACAAATGTAGGTATAATCAGGACCAAACAACAAATTGTTTCTCTTCAAATGTGATACTTGTAACATAAGCAATTTGACCCATTTTCTTCCCAATTCATAAATCCATAGGGTCCTCGCTGGTGGAAAAGTAATACTTCATGACAAATGATTGTAGCATTTTTTGTGATACATTTTATTTCCTCTTAACAGATGGCCCTTTTAAAACTGAGGTTTCGGGCATAAAAAAATTAGGTCATTCGAAAATAGATGTTAAATCATCTTCAAAATAACCTCTGAAGTAAATGGCCAACCACCATGTTCTGAATGTTAATTTATTTGATTCATTTGAGAGGTAATGATTATAAATTCTATAATGATAATCTTTAAACATTATTAAAAGCTTTGGGAAGTGAACAAGCATTTTCGATCTATAGGGTTTCATTTCAACTGACAGAGATTTGGAACTCTGTGTTTCAGTTATCGAAACTTCGACGAGGATGAAAGCAGACTGACTCCATACATACCACTTCTGCGTATTTTCAACTAAACAACTGTTGAAAGTGGATATCAAAGTGATTCGATCTATAGGATGCATTTTCTTAAAATGATCTTCTAAACCAAAAAGTTTTGAAAGGTAGTGTCCAATCTCCATATAGTTTTTTTCAACTGAAATTACTTTTTCAATCCTTTTCTGCCAATCTTCTCGGTAATATTAGATACTTCTTCTTCAACTACCTCTATCACCTTGTTATCAAATTTTGGAAAATTATTTTACGCCTGACGCTTTGTTTCAATGTTCGCCAAATCAACTCGATGGGATTGAAAACACAAAAATAGGGGGTAAGTCCCAATATGGTGTGTCCATACTTTTCAGCAATATTCTCAAGGGCAAATACTTTATCAAATGTTTTGCCTGTAAAACTTCAAGTAGTTGGTTTTTGGTAAAGTTATCTTCAAAATACAAATTGTTATCAATCAAAAAGTTTGTATTTCATCTTTCTTCAAATAGGAAGCTTTGTCAAGAACTATTACACTATTCACATCCAAATTTGAGATCAATGTATTAAAAATATTAGCTTCCAAGTTTTTATGATAGTCAACATTGCAGTCCTCAAGTTTTTTTCCACATAATTTCAAAGAATTCGGAACCCATCCTTTACTTCCTCCGCAATGCACAATGATTAGTAGCGATCCTTTGTTTGCAGACATGTTAGGCGTAGACATTCTCGAACCATCAGTCCACCCTTTCGTAACTGTGTCGTGAGTGTCATACCCAGTTTGGTCCAAATAGAAAATTTGCCGTTGTTCTTGTCTATATTTATTTATTTGTTCTAAGTGTTTGTCACGCAATTCTACTATTCTTAAGCGTTCCATAACTTCTTGACGTTTGTTTATTATTTTAAATCTAAATCCTAGTTTCTTTATCCAATTCTGAAGAGTTTTTGTCACAGCAGCTCACGTTATGGACGAAAGTATTCAATTTCTGCCCTATGATTTCAATTGTAGGAATCTCATTGCTTTTGTAACAGTCGTTACAGTCGTTAATGATTTTATTAGATGAACATCTAAAGGTTTTGGTAATCCCGCATCAAATCGCGTCTTGCGCTCATAAGGTTTGCTTTTGACTATTTTACGTACAGTTGAGAAAGGAATTTCGGTCAAATCTGATGTTGCTTGTAATAGTTTTTTCCCTCGAAACCAAACTTGATATGCAGATTCTCATATACATCGAAGCATACTCTTCGAGTTTCAGTATTCAAATGCATCCGAATCTTATTCACTGGTATCTCTTTTCGCATTGTTCACCAGCGCTATTGGAATCACTACACAGGAGAAAGTCTGCGTTGTTATCACACTATCATATTATTCATACTATTAGTACTTGTCCAAGGACGCCACATTTTAAACAAATAACAAAAATGTTAAGTAATTATAACTTCACCAATATCGAATTTCAACACTCAAATCGCGATCAGTTCCTGAAATGAATACTGACAACACGACTCTTCTAACCATCCTCACATTCTATTGGTCACCGTAACATGCCTTCAAATTTAATTTTATGATTCTTCAGCCAATCATAAAACCTGATTAGTAAAAATTATCCAATACGAACTGCCAATTCTTCATTCCACGTGGACTTTGGCCTTTGAGTTCGCCGATAGCTTTAAGAATTACTATATTGGTTACTTCGACTATACCCATTGATTAACTGACACTCTTATATTAACCTAAAGCCGAAGCTACTGAACCTATAATCTTGAAATATGCAGATAGGTTTTTTGTATAGCGAATCAGGGAATCAGGGATTTCCATCCATTGGGGTACATAGATTGTATTTTATTCAGAACTATTCAAGATAAACTTACGGTACATTATCTGCATGTAACTCCAACTGTATAGGCATCGCATGGCAAGATAGCTCTCAGTGAGCAAGAATTTTTCCCACTTAATTAATATTTATTGTGACCAAATTTACACAAAATCTTCGTAAATTGTAGCTTATATGTTATTTTGATGTACAAGCTGTATTTATGTAATGTTTCATCTGAATTCGTTCAGTCGTTTACGCGTGAAAGAGCCACAAACATACGTACATACATACATACATCCATCCTCACAAACTTTCACATTTATAATATTAGTATAGATGATTGACATTTGAATAAAAACAATGTTTGGGGCTTTTATTTTTATTTTTCTGTACACAATAAGCACTACACATGGAAATTTTCGTTGAAACGGTTTTAAATTACTCTAGGTAGATAACAGTAAATCTCTTTACCATTTGATCATTTAGACTGTAAACTATTCTTTGTAATTCTAATCTCTAACTAGAAAATACGCAGAGAAGCAAATAACATTTCTGAAAATGATTATTGTTTGGAGTGTGAGTTTTAGAAAATTATTACAAACGATATGATTCCATAAATAACGACTGCAAATTACTAACATAAGTGGTTTTTAATTATGCTTCACGGTCAGATTCGGATTATATAATTATTCGATGGCGTAGCTTATTTTTAACTCGTTCGAATTGAATGATGGCTTATCAATAGAACTATGTTAACATTTATGGGTTTCTGCTGATAAGTACGGCTATAATTCCCATTATCTCACCTTGATGTAGTCTTCTGCAATAAAAGTAGTACGCATAAGAATTTAGTATTACTATGTTTGGATCAAAAGACGTATATTTTTAGAAGATATTAATTTTTAGGAAAGACAGGTTTTGGCTTTCTTCTTCTCATACAAGAAAGTGTGAGAATCTCCCAAAGAAAAGAAGGAAGCAATTGATTTCAAAATTTACACAGCACTTCAGGAAAATTTTTAAGACGCTCAAGAGTGGTGCCTGTGCGAAAGTAGGGATTCATATTGGATTTAAATAGCTGGAGATCAAATTCTTTTGAAATAAATTTCTCAGAAAGTTTATTCCACATAAACGCAGTTCTCTATACAAATATGTGCAGTTCATGCAAAGAAGTAACTTTCAGGCACAAACTGAATAAAAAAGTCATCTCGTCACAATCACTTTCATATGCACATGGAATTACACGAAAGAAAAATACTTTGGAAACAACTACTTTTCTATTGATATTGAATTATACTATTATGGAATTGAATCAGATATTATTCGCAGGATTGCTACACGATGTAGCATATAAAAGAGGAACAAAGAATTTCCTTCAATTCGAAAGGGGTACATTTTTATGAAGGAATAATTTTTGGAAAAGAAAGTTTTTGCCTTTCAACTCTTTTCTTCATTCAAAATTTGTAAATCTTCCAAAGAAATGATGGGAGATTTCAACAATTTTTATAGTTGTTTCGAGCTTTTTCTGTCGATTTGTGTCTTTGTATGAACTACACATCATTTTGAAATTCATTGATTTTTCTTTTCTTTGGAAAATTACAACATATTTTTTGTATGAAGTAGAAATCCTAAACTTTTCTTTTCCATCAAGTTGTTGTTCAGAACTGACTGAAGTATTTTATAGAAATATGTTGAAAAATCGTCATAGTTTGAGAATTTGATTCAGTAAGAGTAAGACATAACAAATAGTTTTACACTCGATTTTTACCGAAATTATCGTAGTAAAAATCATTAAACAGCTTTTTAATGAGATAGAAAATTTGAATATTCAAGCAATAAAATAATTTTCAAACTATAAAGTAAACACTTGAACTCACGTGATTTACTATACGACCATGCAGTGGTGTAGGAAGCATTGAACATGTCATACATTGAAAAACAAAGAATCTGTGTGAGTTCGGCGAAAGTTAATTGAGGGACTGAGGAATATCATGAATAGGATATTCAGACTGAAGATGAACTTGGATAATTTACTCGTACGGTTTTTGGTTTTGATGCTAAGTACGTCAGCATAGCGCTGCTTATAAGAGGCTTTCCCGTTTCTCACAGGAACTTCTTCCGAAAGATCTCCATCTTGAGTAGTCATCAGTGTTGCTATGCAACATTTTGAAGACCATAATAGGTGGAATTGTCAGTTTCCCCAAAGAGTGCCTGTCTCGAAAATCAGTTAATCCATATCAGAGATATGTACATTTTCCATGTCACATTAGTCCAGCTATCTATCTATCATCATTGTAAGGGCCAAGAGCTCTCTCAGAAATGATAAAGAAAAAACGGCATCATGATAAAATTTACCTGTTTCTATCAAACCTCGTCTTGATTTCAAAACTGGTTATTTTTCGATTCGAAATCTGGTCAACTTACCTTTGACTCCTCTATATTCCTCAGTGGAATTTTAAATAACAAAACATACAACAATTTCATTTCTTGGTCTGAATTGTACTAGAAACTTCGATGACGTAGAATGAATGGGAACTCCAAATTTTGAGGACAGAGAGCCATTATATGACTAACATTAACAAAATGACCGGATCAATATTTTCACAGACAGACTATTCTAGGAGCACTGACGAACCCAAAAAAGACATAAAGACTGAACTGGTAATATCGAGAGAAAGTGAGGAAACTGGAGGACAAGAATAAACTGACTATAATTAAAGAGTGTGCCAGATACGGATTCTCAACTCCATATATAGGGCCTGAACCAAAATATTTGGTACGGAATCAGATTAGGAAATGGGTCTATTGGATTTCATTCTTGTGTATATGACCATGATATGATTACTTCCAACAGAAATGCTCTTTCATAGCTCTCCAGACTGGTAAAGATCAACCAAACTTTCCCTGCTAATAAAATGGCTGCTGGCTGAACAAACAACCTCTGGAATGTTCAAACAGAAATTCCACTTTCAATTGAAAATATAGCTCAATTTCATCCCTAGCTACAATTAAACATGAAGGGAAAATGTTCGAAAGATCAGGAATTTCATTAATATCGATTGCACAATCCTCTTTTGTGGATTGAGAAGGACCTGCAGAATAAGTATTGAGCTGAATATCTGAAACAGATGATGATGAAGTTTGAATTCATTGAAAAATACATGGACAATAAAAGGAAGAGTAAAATTCAACCCGATTCGGCATTTTCCACGGCTATCCGTTTGGAACAACTCTGAATCCTTGTTTGAAAGTGGTTGACAATGTCTCGTGATTAATTTCATTAGTTCGGATTTCCATTGTCAAATATGATTCTACTATGATTCGAAATCTATGAAAAAACAAATAAAATTAGAATGAAAAACTGAAACGAATGAAATAATCAAGATACGAAATGAAAGCGACTACAGAGAGCTTTCACCTATCCCTTTTTCCATCTCTACGCTTCACCGGTTCAGCGGGAAATCACTGTTAGGCGGAGTTGAACCGATTTTCACTTGGTTTCCATATGTTTACATATGTTGCGAATATGTACACTAACTTGGCTGAATGTGTCGTTGGACAACACAATATTTGTCACCACTGCAACATATATGCAGCTTCTTTGAACTTCCTCCTGAACCAGTGTTCCTTCCTGTGGATGATCTCGGCTTGGGAAAACTTGATGTTATGTTGATGAGTCCAAACATGCTCTGCTATTACCGATTTGCCGATTTCTCCTTGCTGTATGTTTTTTGTGCTCAGCAATGCGGACTTTCAATGGCCTCCCAGTTTCACCGATATAAGAATTGCGGCACTCACAAAGTATGCGGTAAATGCAATTTTTGAAATCACAGTCCTCGTTTGGTGGCCTGGTTTTTATAAGGCAGCTACGGATGATGTTTCCGGATCTAAAGAAGGCCCTGATGTTGTACTTGGACCCAATTCTTCCTATCCTTTCCGATAATCCTCTGACGCAGGAAAGTACAAGTACTGGTTGTGACGGATTCTCTTCCTTGCGAGGCTCTTGCTGTCTTCTAGCCAAAATCAGTTAGTTAAACCATCACTTTGGAGTAACCATTCCACTGAAGATATTTTTTGATGATGCCCAGTTCCTTTTCGAGATTTTCCACCGTAATACAGAGCCCGAAAGCTCGATCCACTAGAGTCTTGATGATTTCCTCTTTCGGTAGATTGAGGGAGGTTGATTCGTGATTCAGGTAATGCCCCATGTGAGTGGATTTTCGGTATACAGATGTTTCCCACTTAGTGTCGGTCTTTTTCACCAATACGTCCAAGAATGGCAATTCGTTGTGGGCTTCCTTCTCCATTATAAAAGTGATGGAAGGTCTTACGTTGTTGATGTGCTTCAGAAAGGTGACTAGTTCTGTATTCCCATGGTTCCATACTATGACTCGGGGCTTCTTCATTGGCCAGAGTTTCTTAGATTCCTAATGATAATAGACAATGGAAGTCCAGACTGATGAAATCAACTTTGAATCTATTGCTATATTCGTTTTATTTGGTAATTTGTTATGCTGCATACCAAAAACTGTTAATTTCTCTACCCTCTCTGCCCTGAAAATTACCTGCCTGATTTTTGATGATCGTAATACAGCAAAACTTTATCTTCTAACTATTTTTATGCTATAATGTAAAGCATGTGTATATTTATTCACATTTATTTAAATTTATTTACAAATACATTCCTGATTTCTCATGTATATTTTGTCGAATATATTTGCTGCATGTGTGGACGCCTCTGCTCACTCAATTGTAATAACCATTCCAAATATAAATTCTCAAACAAATCAGGTTTGAAGTAAACAATCCAAGTCAGTGCATTACTGTGCATTACATATAAAATGTCATCAAAAATAGAAGTAATTCTTGAAGGGTTTTCACTTTTGGAAGGACCTCATTGGGATATTGAGAAGCAGTGTCTTTATTTTGTCGATATTCATAATCACAGTATTTTCAAATACGTGCCATCTACGAAGAAGCTGACTAAAGCAGTTATTGGTAAGGACATACTTCTATTTTCTTTCATCGACTTTCGTGTAGTCACTTTGATAAAAAAATTCAGTTATGTAATAACATGTTAGGAATCACACGTTAAAAGGTAAGACCTCGTTAGTCCTTAGCTCGCACAGTTTCTCAACTTCTGAGAGTTGTAGTTCGTATAGGGGCAAAGGCTGATTAACGAAAAAACAGATTTTAACAGATTTTCAAACAATGAATGTCTGTTTAAAAAAAGTTGATGATGAAATCTAATGAATGAAAAGTCGAATTGCAAATGGAATATATCAGATTATAACAAATATGAAGCGGTAGAGCAAATAAACAAAATTCTACAATTATAATTTTTGGCGAATATTTCAAAAACTACCACTAAAATTCTCCATCTGAAGAGAGATTGTTCTAGTTTTCGAAAATAGTGAGGTTTTGCCCGATTCAACCGACCTTGTAAGTCTTACCGTTTACCAGATAGAAATAGTGTTAGGAGGATTAGCTAAAAAGAACGACCTGTATAGTAGTTCACGCATCAATTTTATCGCATGTAGTTGTTTTCTGTATACGGTCGAAAGCATCTATGAGCTGAATACTTCACATTTAATCTAATAAAATTATCAAACAATTTGTTGTGAATACTGAACGAATCGAAACAGTTTATAGAAGTTCACGCGACTTGACGTATCTACAAAATGGCACCAAATGTAGAAGTGATATTGGAAGGTTTCTCTATTCTGGAAGGCCCACATTGGGATATTAAAAATCAGTGCCTTTATTTTCTCGATTTTCATAAGCACAGCGTTCATAAATACGTGCCGTCTACAAGGAAGTTGACTAACGCAGTTATAGGTGAGGGTCCTTTGGATTTTTTATAGATTAACAAAAAAAAGTGTGCCATTAGAAAAAAAAAAGATCATTATCAAATGCATACTATCAATTATTTCGACGTAAGAAGAATTCAACGTAGAGATACAAATAATTACTTAAGGCTAATTTGGTTTTTAGGAAATTCATGGGAAGAACTGGAAAATTTCCTTTTCTATTTCGCACTGTTTCTTCTTTATGTAAAGAGATTTTGAAAGTCTAATTGAACTTTTTCACGTGAACTTTTAATTAGGTTCTCGTGTGACTTGGACCACATTCGACTTTGGAATTTTGAATAATGACCTGCATTTTTTTGGAGGCAAAATATTCATGTAAAACTGTGAAATTAGTTAGAAATAATGATTTTCTCTACGGTAACTTCACGAGTTTTAAATGAAGTATTATTGTTTTATTACGACTGTGATAATCATATGCATCAAGTAATATATCCTTTTATGTACCATGACTGATTTTCAAAAAAGGGTTTTCACAGAATCAGCTGTGGTACATAATGGAGGGATTACATGTATGTGATGAAAAAAACAATTAACATTTACACGTTGAACATCAAAATATATTGTTGATCAAAGAATTGCTACAAATAATACAGGTTCTATTTTAACATGGTCGAACGGTAGCCGGGTAGTTCGACGTGGGTGCTTTGTTCATTCACTTAAATCGACCGCCGTGTTGGTCGGTGGTTCAAGCCTCAGGCTGAACGATCGATTTTCTCTTGCGATCGTCCAACCCATGTTGGGAATCACACGTTAAAAGGTAAGACCTCGTTAGTCTTTAACTCGCACAAGTTTCGACTTCTGAGGGTTGTCGTTCGTAGGGGTGCGACAGCTGGTTAACGGAAAAACATATTTCAAACAGATTTAAACAGATCTATAGCCACACGTAAAACCAATTGCTGGCGTGGCGACGGTCGCCATACACAAGCCACTGTGCGATTCTTTTCCCACTGGTTCGGCGTTTCGCTATCTCTCTGACATGAAAGTCCTTGTGGCAAAGTATGGAAATATTTCCAATGTATCTGCATCACAAGAGATATAGCAAAGAATGAATTTTTGAAAATTTTGGTTTTATCGGTATATCTTCTGAACCAAAAAACTGAAGTCAATTTTTTATACCATTCAGTCGTATTCAAAACCAGACAAGTTTGCCACAATTCAACCTAATCTGTTTCCACGATTTTGTTTCGACATTTCCGTACATTATACCCGAATTTGAGTATGACAATGGTCCCATAAGTACCCGGCCTGACCTAGAAATGGCGGTAGTTGTTTGAAAAATATCACTGTATTAGAAAGTACACAATCTATAAAGCATATGTTTCAAGTTTGAAGACGCTGCGTTGTTTAATATTCGTTTGGCAGCCATCAATAGCGAACGTTTTCGGTGAATTTGTGAAAATGAAGAAAATTGGTCATCGTAGTGTGGTACAATACTTTCATTTGAAAGGCCTCAGCCCAACCAATATGATGCCCTCGACAGAAAAAAAGCATATCTGCAAGCTTATGCAGATGACCTTGTCATCTTGACAAGGTCCACGTCGGGAAGGGTACAACGTTGGACGTTGTTCAAAGTTGGTGCCTGAGGGAGCAGATGTCTGTCAACCCCAGCAAAACTGTGATAATTTCCTTCACCAGGAAGGGAAAATTGGACGATCCAACTCCACTTTCCTTCAATGGGGAGGTCATTCCATTTGGAACGGAGGTGACATATCTTGGCATTGTCCTTAATGAAAAACTCACCTGGAACGTTCACTTGGAAAAAATTTTACACAAAGCCAGACTATCCCTATGGACAAGTCGAAGGATTTGTGGAAAAATTTGGGGGTCAGGTCCCAAACAAATTCAATGGATTTACGTGATGATTGTCAGACCAATGATCACTTATGGTGCAATTGCCTGGTGGCCGAAGGCTTTACAGAAAACGGCCCAAGCGAAGCTCTCTGGCTCACAGAGACAGGCTTGTCTGGCTATCACTGGTGTCATCAGTACCACACCGTCAGCGGCAATGGAGATCCTTCTAGATCTAACTCTCCACATTTTTCTGGAGAGAGAGGCTAGATGGACTGTATACATACTTATGTACATTGCCAATTACACAAATCAATTAAATGCAGAGTGCAACAGACTGTTGGTTGACATTGGAAGTCACAGCATTTTGGAAATGACCTCTGACTTTATGCCTCCAACTGTCAAATACGAAGTGCTTTATAAAGTACTGTTCCCGAGTAGAGAGGATTGGATCCTCCGGGAGAAGAAATATTAAGAGCAGATAGTTGTTGGTTCACAGATGGATCAAAAACACCTTCCGGTTTTGGTGCAGGTGTTTTCAGTCGCAGACCCAAGACAGAGATATCAACCTGCCTAGGAACCTATGCGAGTGTATTTCAAGCGGAAATTTTCGCTATTGAATTGTGTGCGGAGAGATTGAAAGAATCCAACCTCATACAGAAGTCAATAAAAATATTCTCGGACAGTCAAGCGGCGTTGGAAGCTCTTGGCTTCCACCGAGCAACGTCTAAATTGGTAGCAAATTGCCAAAAACGACTCTTCTCGATAGAAAGATTCAACAGATTGCCTCTGGTGTGGATTCCTAGCCATACTGGCCTGGAAGGCAATGAGGCTGCCGATTCCCTCGCGAAGGAGGGTGCTGGAAGCAGTTTCATCGGACCAGAACCTGTCATTGGCATCATTTCAGGCTTTGCCAAACAATGGTTGAACACCTGGATGGCAAGAAGATTTATGGACTTCTGGCAGAATCTTCCAGAATTGGCTCACTCCAAGGCGTTTATTTACCCTTCGAGGCTTGATACCAAACAGTAGTTGGATCACAGTAAGGATGAACTACGATGTTTAACAGGCCTTCTTACAGGTCACTGTTATTTGAATCATCATATGCAGAGACTCGTACTGTCGGAAGACATAGTATGTCGCCTCTGTGTGGAAAATTATGAAACAGACACCAGAGCACATACTTTGTGCCTGCCCCGCTGGGGACCGAATCAGGTTTTTAGAGTTTGGCAGAGCCGTACTCTCACCATCTGATCTGAAAGACTACCCACTATACAAACTAATCGGCTTCGTAAAGAACCTGGGTTTATTTGGTTTAATGTGAATAGGTGTGAGCCACACTAAAGCCTTGTGGGTTACGGTGGGCATTTTTACATTTCCTACACCGTTAACGCTACTGGTTGCGTTGACGAGCCAGGAAATGTACTGCGTATCAAGCTCTCCGTTCCCAAGACGATGGACGCAACAATTCGTGATTGATACTCAAAATGCCTGAGAGTAGGTCATAGTGGTGATAGTAGGTAGTAGGATTTTTCTGAAAGTAATAGAAACAAGTTGGGTGATAATTTGTGATGTATAATATCAATTTAATGTGTCATTTACATATATTTTGACAGTAGGTAACATTGTGTAATAGGTTAGGTTAGGTTAGGTTAATAATATATGAATAAATGCAGAAATATGTATACAGGTAGCACATTTTAATGTTTACATGGCTGATAGCATTTGGTTGATTAGGCTCAATATTTTTACCTAATGATCTCTTCTTTTTTGATCTCTTATTTTTGTTTCTTAAAACTTTGAAGGCCTCTAGCTCTAGCTAGCATGCTCTAGCGCCAGCATGTAAACTTCTACTTGCCCGGCGTGCAATAGAAGTAGGTTGGACTTTTATCCTTCTCGTTTTTTAAAATTACAAATGCTTGTGCAGATATTAGCAAACGACTGAATATTTTCAATAGTTTCGATTTTCTTAGCCTTGAGGACGTTACCACAATATAGCAAAACGGCTCTTCGCTTATAAACGTCTTGTTCCTTTCTCTTCAAAATACGTCTTCTTCTCCTTTTTGGTGGCGAAAAATCACTTTCCTATAACGGTTTTGCTGCTGTAAAAAAATCTCTCTATCATAGCAAAAAATTTCTCTCAGCGTACGTACATTCATTGTTCATACAAATGATAAATTGATCGTTTCATATGATTTACTTGGATATTGGCAAGAGTTTCACATATTTCATCACTTGAAGTGGTAGCTATTAGTTTCGACTTATTGAAATTTTTGGCAAGGGATCCCTGCATCTTTAATTTGCTTTCATTTTTAACCTCAATAAAGATTTAAGCGCCACAGTTCCTGTTTCTTTTCCTAACGCTGCTTGTTTTTGTTTTCTTATTTTTAGCATTGTGCTGACAAACCCAATATTTTCGATACTGTAGGTTTTTATTTCAGGATATGTTCTGTTTACAATCCACTCTGTGCAAGTAGCTTTAGGAAAGTTATTAATCCAATTGCAGTAATATCTACATCTCTTTCGATGTTGGTTCTCAAAATGAATTTGTTTTTGTCTATATCAATTATTCTGATATTACTATCAAACGTTTATACAGTTTCTTCTCCGCCCTGATTCATCTTGACAAGCCTACCTTCACAAAACAAACAAAATATGTGAAATAACTTTTCTAACTTGTACGTGAACGACTTACTGGCACCATAGCAAAAAAAACGCGCGAAATAATAAAGCACGTGGCGTTGCACCCACTATCTAGATCTAGGGAACGGAGTGTTTGGCACTCAATACATTTCCTAGCTTGTCAGCGCAACAAGTAGCGTTCACGGTGTAGGAAACGTAAAAATGCTTACGGTGAAGGGTTGAATAGACCTACTTACTTTGGAGCTATTGTAACCAATATGAAAGCTGAACTGGATTCTACACTGAGTCAGTCTGCTTCTTCTTTCACAATAGTAAGATATTGGATAGCAGAGCTTAAACGAGCCCGTACGAGCTGCTAAGACGAGCATTGCAGTGGTCGACCTAATGAGGTGACGGCTCCAGAAACGGTACTGAATGATTGTCGACTGAAAGTGCGCGAGCTAGCAGACTTAGTGAGTATTTCAAAAAGTTCGATATATCGTATATTATCTGAAGATTTGGACATGAGAAAGATGTGTGCAACACAAATCCTTCATCGCAATTACCAAAATTAAAGTTTGAATTGCTATTTCAAGCATCCTAATCGCCAGATTAAGCCCCTTCGGATTATTTTCCATTCCCAAACTTGTAAAATGGATCAGTGGCAATTCTTATTATAAAAACGATATTGAAATTATTGAATGTCGCTGGGACAACTGTATAGAGCTGCAAGGAGAAAATGTTGAAAAAAAAATTGTTTTTTCGAATTTTTTTCCTGTCCTGTATAAGTCCTAGTCCTGTTGAGGATGCTACTGACAACAGTAGTCGCGTCAAAGCTTTTTTTGTTTTTTTTTTGGCCTTGGACTGTGAGTTTTCATACCTGCCGTTTAGTTTACTAATGCGGCGATGAGGTAACGGTCGAAGTTCTCGAGTAGAAATTCGAGAATCTTTCTCCTTCGAAAGAAACGCAGGAACTCGCAGGAAAGTCTTTCGTCGAGTAGAGAGACGTTGAGAACTACTCGAGCACTTCAATCTTTACCACATTGCCTCTGATGATGTCTACCGCAGTGGTAGACGAAACGTCAGACATAAAAACTCGCAGACCATGGCTGAAAAACCTGGAAAAATGTTTCGTCACAGTTATCTCCGGCCGTGAAAGTTTGAATTCTTTGATCAACCGTAGCCGCGTCCGGGCCTGGAAATTGCTTATCGCCAGATGTTGAAGTGTTTTTGTTATTTATCAACCCAACTCTGAGGTTTATCTGAATAATCGTTGAACTCAAGTAGCAATCATCACGTAATCATGTAATTTGGTACGAAACCAAAAAAAATAATTCTGAACTCAATTGTATCTTCTGAAATAAAACTATAAAAAACTTTTTGAAATATCCCAACCTTCAACCTATTCATAAAACCATATGAAATCAGTATCAACGTCATCAATTAGAACATTCTAAAAATGCCTACCGAAACATATTTATATTTTCTTCATTTCGTGTAACTTCAAGAGTACTGATCTACTAAAAGAAGATAAAAATAATATTTACATGAATCTCAAGTTGAATTAAAGTGGTCTTTCAAGAAAGGAATTTACCAGAAATAAGGAATCTCTGTCCGATATATTTTTTGTAGTAATTTTCACATGATCTTTTTGAATTTGATGTTGAAGTTATGCCTTCAAGTTTTTCCATTTGAGATTTTTCTTACAGTTTCATTTTATTTCGGAGCAAAACTTGCGACAGGAATGAAATTTCTACATATCAATAATTTAGCTAAATTATTATGTCAATAGAGACGCATAAGATGACAACAAATTTTTATGTGACAGGCGCTCTAAAAGCGGATTTGAATCCCTGGTGATTAAATCAATCAGAAAGTTTATTTCACATAAACGCAGTTCTCCAAATGAAAGAGTTCTTGAACAGTGGAGTTCGAGGTGTACTGAGTTAAACCTAAAAACGATGAGCAGCCACAGCCCGTCAAGAATTTCTGATATGTACCGCTCTTGGTGGAATTAAATGTCCAAGTCGCTTGAACACCTGTCCTAAAAGTATCTATAAAAGAGAGACAAATCCCCATCCTTTCTTCGATGTTCCAGACTATCAACTTTTACTACAACTGAATCTCGGAATTCAATATTATCGTGAACTAGATGTTATCATCGAACCCTAGAAGAATGGACTTAACATATTTTCGTCATCAGTCTGATTTTTGTGTCCTATAATTTTTTCTCTGATCTCTAAACTGATTTATCACTGTATGTGAATTTTTATGCAAATAGATATCCATACTGTATACAGGGCTTTTCATGATGAGCGTTAATTAGCCGTTTCTGACAAACTATTTAACGGATCAACCTGAAAATTTCACAGTATGCATAAATCAATAAGACCTACACGCCTAAAATATTTCAGACGAAGCGGCGTTGTCGCTTCTACCATAAAGTAGCGGCTTCTTTGATTTTTCAATTAGAACACCCCGTATATAATATCATATTATGATTCATCATCACTTTGTCAACAAATTCATATACTATTTCCCTATACATATCTATTACCGTTTAGAAGATATAAATTAATTTCGATTTTTTTTTTACCAAACATGAACTTTTATAAATGCTGATAATCTTGAATTCTCTTGCACTAAAACGATCAAATTTGAAACGGTTCAAAATAGTAGAGATCAAAGTATCTGCATTTTTTGAAGACCCTGTATGAGGCAAATGAAAATATGACTCGGAGTAAAGATCCTCATAGTTTCACTCCACTCTATTTCAAATTTGATCGTTTTAGTGCAAGAGAGTTCAAGATTATCAGCATTTATAAAAGTTCATGTTTGGTAAGAAAAATATCGAAATTAATTTATATCTTCTAAACGGTAATAGATAGGTATAGGGAAACAGTATATGAATTTGTTGACAAAGTGATAATGAATCATAATATGATATTATATACGGGGTGTTTCATTTGAAAAATTAAAGAAACCGCTACTTTATAGTAGAAGCGACAACGCCGCTTCGTCTGAAATATTTTAGGCGTGTAGGTCATACTGTGAAATTTTCAGGTTGATCCGTTGAATATTTTGCCAGAAACGGCTAATTAACGCTCATCATGAAAAGCCCTGTATAGTATTATCAAATTTTTATTACGATTGGATTATTAATTACTAAATGTTTGTGTGAAAAACTTACCAATATTAAAAAAAAAACAATAAGTGCCTCACCCGAGTCAGTTTAAACTGTAGACTTCGCTTGGACATCAGTCAAAGACTTGTTGAATTGTTCTCAGTTTTACAATCTATCATTGAATTGCTTTTATATTCTTGATTTCAGGAAATCACAATGTTTCAATAATTATACCAATCAAAGATAAAAAGGACAATTTCGTGATAACCGTTGATAGATCAGTGTCAACCATAACCTGGGATGGAGAGAGTAACACTGTGCTGAACCTCAAGAAATTGTATGAAGTTGATCATGGAACAGACCATGTCTTCAATGATGGAAAATGTGACTCAAGTGGAAGACTTTGGTCAGGTTAGTTTTGATTTGAATTCTACTAAATCGGTAGCGATATTTTAGTTTATAATTGTGACTGTATTGGAAATATTATTGAGCTAAATGTTGAAAAGTAGGCTGGTAACTGTGGTCTAATATGAATCCCACAAAAACATTTGATTAGACGAGTAAATACATATCGCTTGAACTAAAAAATGTTGTATATTACTGGAGGTTTATTCCAACACCTCAACGCGTGTTTCGATCACCAAGTGATCATCTTCAACTGTTTAATGAGATGAGATGGGAAAATGACTCGACAAGTGAATCATAGTATCAATAACCAATGTATCTGTTACAAAGTCAGACTCTCAATTTTCAAAATCAAAGATTGATTTAACACTTTTTTGTTTTCGTCACAGGAACTATGGGAGCACATGCATCCACTATTGATGGAATACCTCCAGGCAAAGGAACTCTTTACAGTTTTCAGAATAATTTGGTCCAGAACTACAGGGGCGGAATTGGGATATCCAATGGTATTGCTTTCAACAAAGAACTGGGAAAAATGTACTATATCGACTCTATGAATGGAACTGTAGATCAGTACGATTTGGATATCAATCGAGGAACTTTATGTGAGTGAATTATTTTGTTATGCTTTAAATTACCTAGAAATGTGTAGATGATTGGTTTGGAGTTCAGTTCGATTTTTTTTATTGCAATATGTCTCATCGGTGTCCGATATTGAAATTTTTTCATTGAAGTTCAGATGGTGTGCTAATAACAAACTTTTGTACTGAAGTACTAGAAGTGAATACAGCTTACATTCTGAAATCTCCATATGAGCAATCACATATTGTATCTACCAGCAACCATATTCTATGAGGGTTGAAGTGTATTCAATGTTTTTCAGTCAACTTTTTGAATTTCTCCTGAAGCATATTTCTAAGAACAATTCTTCAGTAAAGAGTTGCTATCAGCAACACAACGTCAGCGACCATGGACAGTTATCGAATCCTCTTTCGTCTCCGCATGAACATACAGAAGCAATATGCATATTGCTGATTGTACAAATTAGACTCTTACTGAACAACATTCTGGGAATTACCTCCGATTTGATGCTACCAAAAGTCAACCTGCCTTTATACAGTCCTAATTGCGAGTAAAGGACTGAATCCTTCGGGAGGAGTTAATAACTAAGAGCAGATATATGTTGGTTCACAGATATATTGGAATCATCCTGTAGGTTCTAGTGCAGGTGTATAGAGTGACCGAGCCAGGACTAAGGCATTGAAATATTCTTCGAAGAATGTCACTAAATAATTGTTCAACTACGAGAAGGTTATGTTGTCTAACATACTTTCTTACAGGACACTCATTTGAATCATTACTTGAAGATACTTGGACTGTCGAAAGATCTAGTGTGTCATCTGTGTTTGAAGATGATAAACCAGAAGACCAATAGCTACTTTTTGCCTGTATCGTTATAACCCAAATCAGGTTTTCAATCTTTGACAGAGTTTCACTCAGAGGAATGGTGGAGTGTGAGCTACAGTACATCCTGAAACATATTCGAGGATTGATTCAATTGATACTGGGTTGAACCGAACATTGAAGTTTTGAACATTAGTTTGAAATCTAATTATGTTGTAACACTTGTTGATCGTGTCATCAGGATTTGTGAACCATATCTTCTTTAAGAAAAACCTTGTCATCTAGATCAGGCTCTACAGCGCAAGAAATCGAATGTAATCTATATCCTAGAAGAAGAAATACTCCAACTTTGATGACGAAGTGGCAACCAGAGTCTATTTGCCTTACATTGTCATGGACCGCATCGAAAAACTGTTTGAACGTCACAACATCAGGACCATTTAAGAGCCAGCTAATCAACCAAACAACACTATCAGATCGGTCAACGACAAAAGAAAACATCTGACATCCGCCGATGTTAACAGGATTCCCTGTTTCTGTGGCTCAGTTTACGTCGGAACTACCAACAGCAGCATCAACACCAGGATACAAGAACACAAGCATAGTTGCAACAGGAGAAACTCGCGATTGGAGAACATGACCTCGAAATGAAATACGAAGAAACTGTTTAATTCAACGCATTACTACGTACCACTTCATACAGGAAGGCCCTTGAAATCAATGAGCATCTCAACAATTTCAACTGAAAAGAGAAGGCGTACTGGTCAACAAAATGAGGTATCCAGTAGTCAAGAAACCTATACATAGACTAGAATACAACTCCTATCGACATCCTACCAGTATCATACATGTCAACAACGTGGACCAATCAGAACGACCCAGCAAAAGTAAGGACCAATCAGGAGAGATAATTTACATGGAAACCCCGCCTTTGCTCCCACCATCAGATCCACCACCATCCATATCATCATCCCCACTATCCTCTGAAAGTATAAATACGAGTAAATATTCAGCTCGCCAGGGTCCTTTACGACTTCAATGAAATACTTCTTGAAACGAAAACTAATACATTTCATGTTTTCAAAATACGGAAATAGTCACATCGTGTTTTCTATTATAGCGAACCTCCAACCAATATTCACCAGAGAAAAGCATGGATTCGACGAATGTTTGTTTGACGGTATGACAATTGATTCAGATGGCAACTTATGGGTAGCAATATTCTTAGGCTCAAAAGTGATTAAAATTGATCCAAGACGACCTGAGACACTTCTAGAAACTATAGAATTTCCAGCATCCCAGGTGAGTTGATCAATCTCCAAGCATTCAATATTTCATCGTGATTGATTTCTTTTGAAGAGTATACATTATGTGTAAAATGTATTCAGCAAGAGTCTTAAATTCTGTAGAGAATTTTCACGAATAGTAACTTATCCCTCCTTTTCTCTTATGGCCTTCGATTCATTCTTCAGAACATCATTTTGGTACAGTTATTTCACTGAAACAAACAAAAAAACAATCACCTCTATTGAATGGATTAGAGTACTGAGTATATTGTTTTTGATAATCTGTCTTGTTGACGTTTGTGACACTTGTATTGACTTTGACGTTATTCCATCCAGCGATATGACTGATGGGACTAAGCAGCCATGAAACTCTGTTGGTGGTTAACATAGTCATCGACATTGAAAAAAATACAATATTTTCTCTTACTTTGTCAGCAAATTGATGACTGAACGCATTGAAATGTACCAAAATATAGAAAATGATTCAAAATGAATATTTATTGTCATAGACTTTCTTGTAACTTTGGTCTCCGGATAATGTTTATTTATTTATTTATTCATTCTACACACTATTCTACAGGATGAACCCAATAACACAATAGGTAGAAACAGTAGCATTTACAAATATGTACTTCCGTAATCTATATAAAAAATAAATAAAAACAGAACAGTCAGTTAGCTACGAAATGTCTTTTGATTTGTACAATCGGGCAGTTGAATATATCTAGGACACGACTAACAGAAATAGAGGTATCGCACATTGTATAAATTGGGGATATTTTCATTATATTTGCTCGCTTAGTGTTGAGATAAAAGGTGACACTATTCCACCTAGGAACCCAAAAATTGTAGCATGTAGCATGTAATAATTAAGAGCAGGTAATGATATTATTATGATTTTGAATAAAAAAGAAACGAATAATATCTACGCCTTACCTCAAAACTACAAAAATTATGAGTTTCAAGCAATTCATAATAGGGTATTCCCACAGAAGGATACCTGCCTTTAAGTTTAAAAGATATATATTTGAGGAAGCGCCTCTGTAGGGCTTCTAGTTGATTTATATGAACCTGATAGTAGGGACTCCACACAACAGATGCATATTCCAGCCTAGATCGAAAAAAGTGAAATAAAGTAAATGTTGAAGCTTTTTCGAAGTCTTTTGTATTTCTAACTAAGAGTCCATACATACGATAAGCAGCTGTGAGAGTAGTGTCAATATGTTTGTTGAAAGAGAAGAATGAATCAAAAGTAACACCTAGATCAGTGAGTGTGTCAGGACGCTCCAGAACTTGAAGGTTTATGACGTAGTTATGTAATGTCAGATTCCTTTTCAGTGAGCAGTTATATTTGAATATGTTGAGAGATAGATTATTCTGCTGACACCATGTAACATCACGATATAAATTCAGGGCGAGACGTTCGCAAAGATTATATTGTAATAGAGTTTCAAGTCATCTGCGTATAAAAGGAAATTGACATCAATCTCAGCTTCGATATCATTGATGAAAATATTGAACAGTGGGGGTCCTAGGTTTGACCCTTCTGGTACACCAGATGTGGCTACATATTCGACAGACTTGAGGCCATTGATTTGGAAATACTACATACGGTTGTAAAAATACGATTTGAAGAGAGTAATTAAGCTATTGGATAACCCAAAAGTCGAAAGCTTGTTGAGCAGGATACTATGGTCTAGTCTGTCGAACACTTTAGAAAACTCAGTGTAGATGAGATCAGTCTGAGACTGACAATCAATAACCTCCGCAATACATTGAGTGACTGTTACAAGATTGGTGATGGTTGAACGTCCTTTCATGAAACCGTGTTGATTGGGGCTAATAATGTTGCTAACATGACAGTAGATTGTCTTCTCAAGGAGCATCTCAAACACTTTACAAAAGTTGGATATGATAGAAATTGGTCTGTAATTTTTTATCTCCTTTTTTGAAAATTGGACACACTTTCGACATTTTCCATATTGATAGTACAATACATATATATTTAATGTTTTTATTACATTGCTGTTAAACACGATCCAAGCAGTTTCAGTACGTGCTGCGGCAGATTCATTGCGGTGATTTTTGTACAGGTAATCCGCAAACTCCTGGTAGGGTGTCTTGGTAAGAGGCATCTCCTTCCACAAATCTGGCGTTAAGTATGCGTAAGTCTTTGCAATTGCTGCATAAGTTGCCTTGGCGAAATTACCCAGAGTACCAGTGGAGCCCTTGGCTGATGTATAGCAGTCTTCGATACCCGCCATCTGCAGTAGTTTCTTGGGAACAGGAGCAGAAACGATACCAGTACCACGGGGAGCTGGGATGAGACGTACAGTTACAGACCCGTATTTTCCGGTGACTTTGCAAGGCACTGTGTGGGGTTGACCGATTTTGTTACCCCAGTAACCTCTACGAACTGGTACGACAGAAAGCTTGGCTAAGATGATGGCTCCACGGATAGCAGTAGCAACTTCTTTGCTGCACTTCACTCCCAAACCAATGTGGCCTTTGCTATCACCAATAGCTACGAAAGCCTTGAAACGAGTACGTTGACCAGCACGTGTCTGTTTCTGAACAGGCATGATCTTCAAAACCTCATCATTCAGTTCTGACCCAATGAAGAAATCGATGATTTCATACTCCTTGATTGGTAAAAAAAACAGGTAGATCTCCTCCAAAGAGCGGATCTTACCATCTTTTACCAACCGTCCTAGCTTAGTTACAGGCACCCATTCCTTCTGGTCTTCCTTTCCGCGACCACGGCCTCTACCGCGTCCACGTCCACGACCTCTGGGGCCCCCTCGGCCACCTCCTCTACTACCACCACCGAATCCACCACGGAAACCGCCACGACCACCGGCTGGAGCTGCGTCCGCCATTGTTTAATACTTCCTCCAACACTGTTGTCGAACGAAAGATAGTACATATAGTACAATTGATGTTTTCAGGCATATATTGATTAAAGTTGTTAGTGATTCAACCAGAGCTTAGGTACAATCTTTAATGATGAATGCTGGAATTTGCTCAGATCCTGCAGTAAATTTAGGCTTAAATTCTTTTAGGGTATGATAAACATCTTCATTACTAATATTTTCGATTACTAGGCTGGGAGTATCAGTACTGTTGTTCGCATGGTCACTTGATGTTGACGCTATATATCAATCACTGAAAAAATCTGTTAATTAACAAAGCCTGTATAAAAAATATATCAGATATAAACTGTTTCTCCTGTCTCTGAGTTACTTGATTCTGATACAACAGCTTTCATAGGTTTTGAAATAAAACACAAAATTTGCAGTATGATATAATTAATCAATAAGCTAGTATTATCTAATAATATTTTTTTATTATCAGATCACTTCTGTTGCGTTTGGCGGAGCAAATTTGGATGAGCTTTGGGTCACCAGCGCTAATTTCAAGGAATTTTCCCCCGGACAGAAAGGAGGGTCGTTATTCAAGGTCACAGGAATCAATGCTAGGGGCTTGCCAGCTGATGAGGCTGTTCTGTGAGATTCATTCGTAGAGATGTTATTTTGAAGGCGGTGGCGGAATACAGAGTTACATGTTATGTAATTGATAAAAAAAGGTGTTTGCATGTATTAAACTAGGTCAATAAGTAGCAAAATAGAATACAATAAATAATTACCTCATAAGACTGCCTGTTGCTTGTAACTTACCAATAAAATTCAATATATGAATCTTACGCGATGGTAAACGACTGAAAAAATATGTTGTTATCCAAGTCAATATGTTGTTATCCAATACTATAGTTGAGGTGCAAGAGGCATATAGGATAAGAAAGTAACTTTGGACTGGGCCTGATTCATTGTACATTCATAAAATTTTGTTCTGTGTGGACATGAACTGAAAATGTATCCATACTTTTTTGCAGAAAAGCCAAAACTAGAAATGGTAAAACAATACTAAAGTTGGGTTAGGCGCAATTGTCAGAAGATGAAATTTTTTCGATTAGCCAATTTTCTATAGCTTGTGCCTGTATTTCATAGTCAAGTATATCATAAAACTAATTGCTTGTTGCTTGTAACTATTGCATTACGACACGACTTCAGTGTATGAATTATAATCTTCAATAAGGAGATGAAGTGATACGAATACAAGTATATCATGTGAAATGAAATTTGGTATTTATTTTTGAAGTTGTCACCCAAAGGTTCGAATTGACGAAGCCAAAATATTGTAAATCCAGAATTACAAAGATTAAGTTCTCTATCGATCACATAGATGGCGTCTTCGTGAGGGAAGATGTCATCGCCGTTGTTTACCCGCACCTGTTAAGCGTGAAGGCAAAGATCCAGGGTCGGGTGGCAAGCCTGTACCCTTTGATAAATAGAAAATCTAAGTTAAGCCTAAAGAATAAAATCACGATCTATAACATGATGTTCAAGTCTGTCATCATGTATGCTTCAGGTGTTTGGGGACAAGCGGCTCCGACTAACATCTCCATCTTTACAAAATAAAATTCTACAGATGATTGTGAATGCTCCGTGGTTTGTGAAAGGTAGAGGGAATTATAAAATCTATAATGTCCCAAGGGAGTTATGACCCTCTTTATTGATAGCGCAACTATGACGATATAAGCTTATAATATCCCGGTCAGAAATAAAACAAATAATATACTTTTTGTCAATCTATCGAGAAGAGAATAGTGAATGGAAAGCATTTTAATTAAGATTGAAATTCAGATTTGGAACCAGATAACGAGAGAGAATAGAAGTGGGTATACCAAATAATCAGATTTCAAAAAGACCGGCCTTCGTGCGATCGGCACGAACCGTACAGCCTTCTCGGAATTGCCTTGATATTCAAAATTTTGATGTGGAAAAAATCTGCATCTGGTGACAGCAGCTGCCAAAATTGATTCAAAAAGATTAAATAAGTCAGAAAGGAGCATTTATTACAAGGGTTTTACAAAACCCGCGACACGTGTTTCGCTATACAATAGTTTCTTCAAGCGCAAACTTGAGGAAACGCTTGAGGATTTAATTACGAAACTGTTTCTTTCAGTTTGTGTCAGTTTGCATGATCCACATATTTTTGTACAGATTTACTTTAACACGCTTTAATTAGCTTCAATTGTATGTTTGTTCGTACCCGACTTCTGTAGACTCGATTTTGACTAACTTTGAACGGGCAGATTTATTTTAAACTTTGTTCGCTATCAGTGACAATACAATAATTCAATGAGCTTATCTCATTATCTTGATCAGGATAGCCAGAAAAAAATAATTTCGTCACAAAGTCTCATCGATAGGGGTGCGATAGGGAAAGTTAGATCAAAAGTGAATATGTCAAAATGTGTCCCCCTGTATACTATTGTTGAGGTGTATTATTTCACCTGAAAATTTCAGGTGTTATTTCACCTGAAAATCATATAATATCATAATGAAAAAAATATCTGTAGAGAATGTCTACGTTTGAAAAGAGAAAAATTAAAATTGATTGACATTTCTCACGAACTTGTTATTTGAATTGGTTTAGAGGAAGCTTCAAAAACTGTATATTTGCCTTAATAACTAACACTAGTAAGCCAATAATAATAATAATAATCATCTTTATTTCAGAATATGCCAACAATACAATAAACATATATTGACAACATATAATGAAATGACGTTACTGAAGGTTACATGATACAATGATCTTGCGTAAATAGAAATATAAGATGCATAAATAAAGATAATTTTAAAAATTATGATTAAAATAGTCCGCAATATTACAAGGTTCCAGATGTATGAGTACCTTTTTTATTTCTCTTTTGAATTTATTGATGATGACCAATGCTTTTATTCTATCTGGTAATTTATTGAACAATCTAATGCACATGTATTGTGGGCTATTTTCAGTTACCGTGAGACTGTGAACAGGGTAGTTGATATTTCTAGTCCTAGTTTCATATTTGAGAGGGATGTAATTTATAATAAACAAAGATTTATTTCAAAAAAAGAACATTAAACATTCATAAATATAAATTGCAAAAATGGTCAATATATTGTTTGATCGGAAAATACTTCTGCATGATTTCCTATATGGCATATTTAAGATTATTCTTAACGTTCTCTTCTGAATGATAAACACTTCTTCCGTATCAGCACTGCTTCCCCAAAACATGATGCCATATTTAGCAGCTGCTTCAAAGTTTGCATGATACATAATTTTTATTGAACTGAAATTTAGAAATCTATTGAGAGTTCTCATGGCAAACACGACTGAATTTAGTTTCATGCATGATTTTGTTATTTGCTCAGACCAGCCCAAATATTCATTAATGTAAACACCTAAGAATTCAGTACAAGGAGCTATCTCTCTCTTTCTATTTTTCATATTTATGCTTGATGAACGTTCTATCTGTAGCTGTCTTGGACGAAACAGGATTGTATTAGTTTTTGATTCATTAAGAATCAATTTATTACTTTCAAACCAATGTTTGGTACCGCCAAATAGATTACTTGCATTTTGCATAAATCTGGAAAATTATCACCCCCGAATAAAAGGTTTGTGTCATCAGCATAATTTGTAATAAACTGATTTTCTTCAATACTGGTTGCACATAGATCATTCATGAAAATTATGAAAAATATTGGACCGATAGTACTACCCTGAGGTATTCCGATATTTGATGATGATATTTCAGATTTATAAATTTTTTCTTGATTCTTAATGCACCCTCTTTGAGTTTGTTCAGTGAGACAAGATTTAGCCCATTTCAGAGCATTCCCTCTAACATCATATCTCTCTGGTTTAACCATCAACAGGTTTCTATACAAACAATCATAAGCCTTGGAAAGGTCCAAACATTCCCAAGGTTAGTGACTTTTTTTCCATGAAATATAATATATTTTGAGTGAACTGAAAAATGGCCGACATTGTTGACCTTCCTTGGATATACCCATGTTGATTTTTACTTCCATGGTTTTCTTATTGTCTTGTTTCGCTCGCACCTTTTTGAGAGGAAGACATTCATTAAATATATTTATAAAATTGCTAATGAAAGAATTCCATTGCAAGTCAACTGATGATATGCTATGACTGTATGCTTCAACCCAATTTTGTTCCTTTAGTCTGTTAGTGAAGTTAATTTTATTCTGTTTGTTTTCTATAGAAAACGAATGGACTGAGCTTTGAGAACTGCGAAAGTTGGTCACATCAACCTAGAAAAGTCTCGTGTTGCCCTACACGCTCTAGAGAACAATCTTATAATGAAAAAGCACTGCTCGCAAGGTTGAGACTGTAAAATCTGCGATATGGAAAGACGAAAAAAGAATTACGCACCCAACGTGCCAGTTCTGGAGTGTGAGAGGACGTGCGTTAAATTGATTCTTCCTTAGATTCAAGTCCAACCTTTTAAAATTCTCAAGTGACCTTTGGAAGGGAAAATACTCAGGAATTTTCAATTACTTCCTTGACGTAAATGATTATTCAAATTGGTTATTTCAATTTGTTGTCGAAGTGATAATGATTCCACCAGTGATGATGACCAACATATTACCGAACAAAATGAACTTTCAGATAAGAAACCACTCAACTCAAATGTTTGATATTGCAAATTATTCTCATTAATAGGCTATAGCAAAATGATTAAAACATTATTGTTGAAGAGGTAGCATTATCAATGCAATACTTGTCAAATTTAATCGACTCATGTCTGACCGTGATAAATTGACTTCTATGGTCACGTCAATGGAGAATGGACGACAATTTTGAATGACGATTTGAAATGGACACAAATTTTCCAAGACAGGTATACTAGGAATACTTTTCTCAAATGCTAATCAATGAGAATACAAATGTTTGCCGGTTTTTAACAATAACTGTATTTTTGAATCTGAAATAGTTCTGGCATTAGATTGAAGTGCAATTTTATTTATTCTCTTCGATGGTTCATATACATTATGGAGGTACGAACCACTATGATCCATCGTTCTAACAATCAATGAAGATTTCATTTTTAATAGTGGTACCACTATATTTCAATTGTTTTCTTGTAGAGCGATTTCACTCAAACGTACTTCTCACTTTCATGTCTTCACATTTCATGCGAGAACAAGGAATTCTTCACGAAGAACAACATTAATTTTTGCCTTCACGATCTTCATCCATTACAGTGCTTCGACCAGTAGATTAGAGCTCTGAACAAAGGACAGCTTAACGACGTCATATTACCGTTATTATTGATTTATATAATTTTCATATTTTTATTTATGACATGTCTCATAATGTAAATGATCGAAAAGACGAATAAAGTCATTATTATTATTATTATTACTTCCAATAGATGAGAATTGACCATTTTAGAGATTATTGACGTGGTACCTTTACACTAGTAAAACCAAAAATTAAATGAGAATATTCTAACTGAACAATGATGTTCATTGCCGTACTGACATTTTTTGTCGTTTTATAGACAAAAAATAACTTAACAAACCTTATCGGATTGTTGGAATTGCCATATGGCAGATAAAATGGAATATTTCTAGAAATATCGATATTAATGTGTTTGTATTCAGGAAATTATTGAATGTTCCGCTATTTTGTAGTAGGTGAAGATATTGACTTTATATTCTAGTTTTGTGAAGTATTCGTCAGGAGCTTCGAAATAATGTATCACAAGACCCCCATTCCATTTAATTATTTTTTTCCCAAATGGCGCCCAGTCGCCATCTTGAAAGTTTCATCTGTCAATTTCACTTCAAAATGAAGTATTCATGCATTACTTTCATTATATCAAATCTCGATTTTTTGAGTTGACCTGTTCAAAAAATAAAACGGGGAGACTTTAAAGAAATGCACTGTATAGTGTGCCCATAGCTAAGGCGAAGAAGGATTTGATGCGAGAAATAAACTGTAATAGCAAGTAAAGTCATGAATTTTTATGTAGTCTATATTTCTTTCATATAATCCGTTAAAAAAAATTAATATGGTTTCCGCTCACTGAGACAAACTGTATGTACGAAGAGTTCATGGTTATATATATCCAGATTGGTCAACTTTGTTGTTTATACTGAAATTGAAAATCTCAATCAAGCGACTCCAAAATCTTCAGCCCCGATTTTTTGCTCAACTAACAATTCAACATTTTCGGACTATGTCCTTATTCCAAGGATAAAAAGATCCTTAGCA